GCCTGATTTATAGGGTATACTGATTATCTTGCTGATCAGAATTTCTTATAAATCACAGTTGACTTTAGATATTTGGTAAAAAAAGAAACCTATGCAGTAGTTTCAAATGTCCTGCACTAGGAGAAGGAAAAAGCTATGCCTAAATACAAGATGCATCTTTTTTCAACTCACAACACTAAATGCAGTTTGGCAAAGGGTCAGAAAGTATATGACTTTGAATCATGTCTCTCAATAACTACAGTAAGAACACCCAGTGGTGAAAATTCCTGGAGATCATAGTTCTCTATTTTATTTATTTGTTATGTTCAAACTAGATCTGATTGATTGTCATATGATGTATTATCAGAAAAAACCACTATCAGTATCAGTATTGAAAGTTCATATCTTGGACAGTTTAGATTATTCTTTAAATAATAGTGCAAAAGTCATGCAGTGTTTTGCTGAGAGTCCCAAAGGTACTTTTTAAAAAGGCAACTGGACTTTCTTTGTTTTTCCTTGAAGATGTTTTGCTTCTCATTCAAGAAGCTTCAGAAGCTTCTTGAATGAGAAGTGAAACATCTTCAAGGAAAAACAAAGTCCAGCTGCACTTTGAAAAAGCACCTTTGGGACAACCATGACCTCCAGGTCTGAGAATCTCCATAGACATTTTCTGCTTATATAAAGGTAGTCCTTGACTTACAACCACAATTGAGCCCAAAATTTCCATTCATAAGCAAGACAGTTGTTAAGTGAGTTTTGCTACATTTTGCGACCTTTTTGCCACAGTTGTTAAACGAATTATTGCAGTTGTTAACTGAATCATGTGATTGTTAAGTGAATCTGGCTTGCACCATTGACTTCACTTGTCAGAAGCTGGCTGGGAAAGTTACAAAAGGTGATCACATGACCCCGGGACAGCGCATACATGCCACTTGCCAAGTGCCCGAATTTTGATCACTTGACTGTGGAGATGCTACAATGATCAGAAGTATGAAAAACCCATCATAATTCACTTTTTTTAGCATCGTTGTAATTTTGAATAGTCACTAAATGAATGGCTGTAAGTCAAGGGTTACCTGTGTCACAATCCAAATCACTTAGCACTCTTTGTACTGTAAACAGGCTTACCATTGGAAATTCATAAAGATAAATTTTTGAACTAGAGTAATAAAATATTGTTTTAAAAAATAATAAAATAACTTTCTCCTCTGTATTGCATTCATTTGCATTATAGCAAAATGTCTCCTTGAAAAGAAAATATTGCAAATTTTCTTAAGACCAAATGACATAATTTCAAAATTCACACATAATTATTCAAATCTGTCCTTGTTTTGTTAATCCTAAATTAAGCTATCTTTCTCTTTTCAGGTTGAATATGTTTTCACAGATAAAACAGGGACGTTAACTGAAAACAATATGGAATTCATAGAGTGCTGCATTGAGGGGCATGTTTATATACCCCATGTCATCTGTAATGGCCAAATCCTCCATGACTGTGCTGGAATTGATATGATTGATTCATCCCCAGGAGGAAGTGGAAAAGTATGAACAGTTGTGCTTTGTTTTGTTAATGCTGATTCAACATATTGAAAAGTTAAACTCGATTTCTTGATTTTCTGGACACATTTATGTAATTTTGTTGGCAACAATATGCCGTTGCTTTCCCATCTAGCTTACTGCCTTCACCGTTATTGAAAACATGTCACTTGAATCCTTTGGTTGAAGTAGCTTTTTGTCTGATAGGTATTGTGCTTTAAAAATGTTAAATGCTTTTTCTAAGATGTTTCTAATTTGACAGTGATATCAACACCACTATTTAAAATCTTTGCAGAGAATAATTAAGAATTCTCTGGACATCAAACTAATAAATGAAGATGATATCACTTGAGTTTAAATTAAATTGGAGCAATGTAAAAAGTGGGCTGCAATTCAGTCCAAGGGTTGCAATCTTGATGCCTCCCTAGTTTGATAAGGCAGTTTGAAGTTGAAGTTTGAAGTTTATTGTATTTATATCCCGCCCTTCTCCTAGTGAACTCAGTGCGGCTTACAGCCAGTTAAAACAAAACAATTTATACAAATATACAAAATTTAAAATAAATTAAAAGATATATTTAAATAGGCCTTTTCTGTTTTTAAAATTAATTAAAATCCAATTTAAAATATCCCTAGGCCAGTCCTGCCAGCTGAAACAGCCATGTCTTGAGGGCGCGGCGGAAGGAGGGGAGATCCGGAATCACC